GATTAACGAGGAAGCTTAAAGGTCAGTTCAGAGGAGGCCAAAACCTGAGAGATGAAGCTTTAAGGACCGAATTTGTGTGGGTGAGAAGTGAAAGCTCAGGGCAGCCAAAAGGGCAATCTGGCGTTTTGTACCCAGATGGAAGATCACAGGAGATAGGATTTTCGAGCCAGGAGAGACTTCAGCGATATCTAATACAACATCCTCATTTTACAACGGAAGCGACCAAAGCCGGAAGTGGTGATTGACTTGTGGAGGCCCTGGAGTCGGCCTGCCGGGATTTGTAACTGCTCCAACACTTAGGAACTCGAGACCTTAGTAGGTCCCTTTCCCTCTCTAGGTCTCCTTTTCCTGTGTGGAACGAAAATAGTAACAGCATTTAACTTACATGCTTGTTATGTGGATTCAATCAGATGATTCATGTAAAGCACGGTGCCTAACACATACTAAAAACTCAATAAATGTCACTTAGTAATAGCAGTGTCATGTCATCAATACTCAACTAGTGGATGACAGAGCTATGACAAGGACTCAGATCACTTGTGCTCTTTTCACGGCATCGGACTGACTTCCAGGGTCCAGAATGGACTGAACGTTGCCTTGAATTTAGTAGTGGTGCCAAATCCAGTCAACCTGGGGCTAAATCTGAGGACTTCGTTCCACTTCAGGGCACTTGACATAAAAGCACCTAGTCTGGTGTCTGGAAAATAGTAGGCTCCTAAGAAATATTTACTAACTGAAAAGATAGTTTTTAAACAACAACAGGGTTGGGAGGCTGGTCCTGGCTTCCAAGAGAACAAGTAGAAATCTTCCACGGAGACACATAAGAAAGGGCTTAGGGAAGAAGATTACTAAAATATGTATGTTTCAGGCCTGTCTGTGAAGACTGGGAACAAGTAGAGGTGGCGCTTTCCGAGACACCTTGGACTTTGCTATGTTTGCTAACCTTTGCATCTTCGTCTGTAGTCACGAGTAAAAATCCTATACAAACTCTAGGTGGGGGGCTGTGTTTTTCCAGAGCTGAGTAGGGTGAAAAAGAAGTACTGAAATGTCTATCTCGTTTCAAATGGATAAGGCTGGGTTGGCAGCAGGCGTGGGGGTGGCACCCAGGTAGACGAGTGGGCGGCGGCAGAGAAAGAGGCAAGAAAGTCAAACCCCTATGCCCTTCCAGAGGGGGAAAAACAAGTGGCGAATGGGGAGCCAGTTGGGACCATAAACTCTGGGATTACAAGGGAGAAAGGCTTGTGCCCCCCACCACTGTGTCCTGCCATATCTAATTTATGACCACAGTGGCTTAAGGAAGCCTCCTGTTAGTCCTCCTTACTACTAGTGTCTTCTATTTTCCGAGGCCACCTTCCTAGCTCTTTCTCTTGATTAATGTAGATTCTGACACGCCCACATGAATAAGGTGAGTAACCCCGACCTCTCTAGATGCATGCTTTCAAGTGGTAGTGTTTTCACCATTCGCCAGTCCTTTAGCTCACCCTCCTAAATCACCTGGTCCTATGGCTTATGTCATTTTTCTTTTCTTTTCTTTATTATAATCCTCATCCAAGGATATTTTTCCATTTTTGTTCAGCTGGAGTGATAGGGAGAGAGAGGAAGACAGGGAGAGAGAGAGAGACATCGACGTGAGAGGGACACATCAACTGGTTGCCTCCCTTGTGACCCCAATCAGGGCCGGGGACAAACCACAGTCGAGGTACATGCCCTTGACCAGAATCAAACCTGCAACTCTTTGGTCCATGGGCCACCGCTCTAACCACTGAGCAAACCAGCCTGGGCCTATGGTCGTTTTTATCTGTCTCGAGTTTCAAGGTATCCTCTCATCTTAACAGTCAACGTTCACTAACCACTTTTTCACTGATTGCAGAGTTTATAATCCAGCTGGGGAGACAATATACCCTCATGAAACAAAAAGCCATGTGACCACAAGCACAAAATTAAAGAATACAAACAGTTCATAGAGGTTCGGGCGATGCCAAGTAGGTACGTGATCTGTCAAGTTGGACTAGTCGGGGAAAGTTTCCAAGAGCACGCAAGTTTTGAACTTTGCATTGGGAATTGAAGGAGGTGATGGACATGAGTTGGTGGAAAGGTGGACCTTTTCAAACAAACGCACAAAGGAAGACAATGCAAGATATAACTCAAGCCAGGACAGGTGCCTGCCCCGCCCTGCCATTTCCCTGCCCTCGCAGCTCAGCATGAGCTGCCGCCACACCTGTCTCAGTTACAAGAGCCTCCTCGCGACCTAGTGCTCACCGGGCCACTCAGGCAGCACTTACCAAGGACCCCCCCCCCCATACCCAGGAAATGTTTGCCAGGCATTGTGGACAAGTACATCCCATCTCTTCCATCTGGACCTCAAATAGTGATACCTGGTCTTTTCTTGACCCTCTCCACGGCACAGGGTGGACAGATGGATGCCGGAGTAGAGAGAAGCAGGACTATGCAGAACCAAGATGGTTATGTCACCCTGAGCAGATTAGTGTCACTTGGAAGGCCCAATGTGCTGCCACCTCGGAAAGATCCCATTTGCATGGAAATCCTTCCCGATGGGTGGAAGCCTGGTCACCACAGAGCAGCACACGTTAAGCAACGCTGCACATGGTGCAACGCAGGGCACTATGCACACACAAGTCAAATTACAGACCCTATCCTTAGGAGCTTGCTGTCTATCAGGAAAATTGCAGCTTGGACAGGCACAAAATATGTATGATACATTTATTAAAAAGCTGTCAAGGCATGGAGGGACCTGGACATGATTATGCTAAGCGACATAAGCCAGTCAGAGAAAAACAAATATCACATGATCTCAGTTATATGTGGAATCTAGTGAACAAAATAAACTGATGAATAAAATAGAACTAGAGGCATGGAAACATGGAACGGACTGAGGGAAGGGGGGAGGGGGCAGGAAGAAATTAACCAAAGAACTTCTATACATATATGCATAGCCCATGCACACAGACAATAGTGTGGTGAAGGCCTGGAGGGGATGGGAACTAGGTGGAGGGGGCACTGGGGGAAAAAGGAGGTTTGGAAAGCTGTAATATTCTCAACAATAAAGATTTAAAAATAAATTTAAAGAATAAAGCTGTCAAATGTACAAATGCAATGTCATTCAATTCTTGATCCCATTCATTCAAACAACACTTATTCAATGTCTACTATGTAACCCCAAGCTGGGGTCACGTTGATACATAAAACTTGTCTCTGGCCCTGGCCGGTTTGGCTCAGTGGTTAGAGCGTCGGCCTGTGGTCCAGAGGGACCTGGGTTTGGTTCCCGCTAAGGACACGTACCTCGGTTGCTGTTTGTTCCCGGCCCTGGTTTTGGTCGTGCAGGTGGCAACCACTCGATTTGTCCCTTTCACGTCGATGTTTCTCTCTCTCTCTCTCTCTCTCTCTCTCTCCCTCTCCCTCTCCCTCTCTCTCCCTCCCACACTATCTGAACAAAAACCGAAAAAATGTCCTTGGGTGAGGATAAAAAATAAAAAAAAAACTTGTCTCTCCCCTCAAGGAGTTCACAGTTTACTGGAAGAGACTTACATGTAAACAAATAACTACAATGCATTATGGTTTGTGCTATATAACATAAGCCTGCAGAAAAGGAAGAACTAACTGCACCTTACAGAGGCAGGGAAGGCTGAATAGGAGTTTTCCAGATTAAGAGAATTTGGGGAGAGGGTGATGAGAGGGAGAACATCCCAGGAAAGGTAGAAAGGGAGCGGGGTTTCCAGGAAATAGTGTAAAATTCTGACTGGTTGTGATTTAGTGAGCCCAGTGAAAGATGAATTAAGAAAGGTGGGAAGTGGCCGGGCTCTGAAGAGACCTGTATGCCTTGTTGGGGACTTTGAACTTCATCACATAGGCAGTGGGAAAAATCAAAAGACATTTCAAGCGAGGAAATTATATGATCCTAGCTGTGTGACTTCGGGCAAGTCACTAAATCTCCTAGCATTAGTGTCTTCATCTATAAAGTGAGTACAATAGTGGTACCTGTCTCAGAGGGTTGATTTGAGGAGTAAATAAGCTCGAGTATGTAAAGTGATCAGCACAGTGCCTGGCACATAATAAGCGCCCCATACATTTTAGCTATTATTGTCAGGAAGGTTTCTGAGAAAGGTAACTTTCTTGGCAGCACCAAACATACACCGTAGCGGGCAAAAGATTGATGACCGCAAGAGGTCCGATTAAGATGACATTGTAATTTAATCCAGTGATAAATAAGGCCTTGAAAGGGGATTTGGATGTGGGAAGCTAGGGAGATGAAAAGGTGAGGGATAAGTCGAGCTTGGGAGACTGGGTAGATCGGGATAACCATTAACCAAATTTAGAGATAAGGGGAGCCAGAGGATGGGGTGTGGACGCAGGAACAGACAAACGAGTTCAGTTTGGGACCTGTTGATGAGAAGCGAAGCCCCCGAAGGTGGGAACCTGGAGGGTATCAGTGTTTACCGGGCAGGCCAGAGAGCCAACGCACAACACTGATGGGTCAGCGAGCACACTGCCGTTGAACTGAGTAAGGGGAGGGGTGGGGAGATACTATCATCAGCTAACCATTTGTTGACGTTACACAAGCCCGCCACCCACCTCCCCAACGGGCGTAACAGCCTGTTCCCCAGGCAGTTCTTAGCCTCTTGCCTCTCGCCTTTCTGCCTCTTGCAGAGCGTGCATTTTTTTTCCCTTTTGCCCTCTCTTAACTGCAAGAAGCAAAAGTCCAGCACCTCTCATCACGGCCCCCTCGGTGACTCCGAACCACAAGCAATGGGGTGGAAAAGGGCGAAAGGAGGAAAAGGATTTTTTTTTTTTTTTTTAGAAAAGAAAAAAAGAGCCCGCAACCCCCTCGGATGAGGTTGCACTCCCAGCTCTCCTGCCACGCCGCTCTCCTGCCGCCTTATCAGCTCCCGGCCGCGGGGCGGGACGGGAAATGTAGTCCTCGAGCCTGAGCGGGTGGCACGACTGGAGGACTCGGTTTCCCAAGCGGCTCTCTGGGCGCGTGCGCAGATGGCTGCCCCGGCGAGTGGTAAACAGAGACGTCAGGCGGGGGCTGCAGCTCGGAGCAAAACAAAAGGGAAACCCGGGGGGCGGGGGGAGGGGGGGTTGGTAGGGGAATCGGTTCTGGAATCAGAGAGGCTGGGGCCAAGGGGACGTAGACCCTCTTAAGAGTGGAGGGAAGGGGAGAGGCGGAGGAGGGGGAGTCAGGGGAGGGGCAAGTGACGCGGGGGAGCGGGGCGTGGGGGAGGGCAGTGATCAGGGTGGAGAAAATTTGGGAGGAGTGTCCGGGGGGCAGCAACTTAAAAGGGGGTGGGAACTGCAGCTAAGGAGACGTTCGCTGATGGGATCGCGATGTATGAGGGGCTACGGTGCCTCGGGTTTAAAAGAGCAGGAAGCGGAGTGAGAGGTTGGAGAAAAAGTCTTCGCTAGGCGGAGATTACAGGTGGTGTCTCGGGACGAGCTCTGGGGCTGCAGGCTGTAGTCGCGAAGAGAAGCAGAGAGTTGTGTGGAAGGGACAGCTTGGGGGGCTAGGGTCCGGGGGCGAGGGGGAAGTTCGAGACTTTTTGAGGACTGGCAGGAATGTGCCACCTGGCCCTGGGTGCTTCCCCCCTGGGGGGAGGCATCGTGAGGGACTGTGGCAGGCTGCTCTGAACGCTGAGCCACAGCGGTCCAGTTCCACGTATGGATCCAGGGAATGAGAATTCAGCCACAGGGGCTGCCGTGATCATAGACCTCGACCCCGACTTCGAACCCCAGAGCCGTCCCCGCTCCTGCACCTGGCCCCTTCCCCGACCAGAGCTTGCTACCCAGCCGCCCGAGCCGCCCGAGGTGGAGCCAGGTCTGGGAGAGAAGGTACAGACGGAGGGGCGCTCAGAGCCAATCCTGTTGCCCTCCCGGCTCCCAGAGCCGGCAGGGGGCCCCCAGTCCGGGATCCTGGGGGCTGTAACAGGTCCTCGGAAGGGAGGCTCCCGCCGGAATGCCTGGGGAAATCAGTCATATGCAGAGCTCATCAGCCAGGCCATTGAAAGCGCCCCGGAGAAGCGACTGACGCTCGCCCAGATCTATGAGTGGATGGTCCGCACGGTGCCCTACTTCAAGGACAAGGGTGACAGCAACAGCTCAGCAGGATGGAAGGTAACTCCGACCCCCTTACCTCTGTCCCAGTACCATCTGCTCCTGGGCCCCCTACCTCCTTACTGCTGCTCGGGGCACCCCTTTTACACCCATCCCCACCCCAGAGACCCACCTTCTATAGTCAATTAGACAAACATTCACTTAGGATATAGTATATCCCATGCTCAGTGCTTGATGCTGGAGGGTCACAGATGAATAAGACACTGTCCTTGCTCTGGAGAAAATTGAATTCTCTGCTCACTGCTCAACACTCCCAGCACAAGTGTTGGCTTGGGCTGCCCCAAACACTTATTCCCACAGAGAAGTCTTTATCCTATGTACTGCAGCAGCTGTGTGGGTTCTCCACATAAACCCAGCCTTCCCTCCGCCCCCACCTCCCACCCCGACACCTTTTCTCCCATTCCTGTGGGATTACTTGGATTCCCTGCTTGCCTCCCAATACCTCAGGGTAGAGGTTCTGTTCTAGAACTCCTGTACCCAAGAAGAAGGAGTGGAATTGGCGAAAGGTAAAGAGTGATACTCGTGGGGTAAGGCGGCTGATTGTACCCACTAAGAAAAAGTGACTGTGAACTGCTACCTGTCTCAGTTTACCTGACCATGCCAAGAAACTCTCCCTAGGAGGGGGCTCTCCAAGTTTGGGGGGGGGGGTCGAGGAATAGTAGTCATGAAGACAAAAAAGAGAGAGCGGGCTGTGACTTCAGCGCCCAAGATCGGGCATTGCTTTGGCTTTCCATGAAGAAACTGTGGGGAAAGATCTCAGTAGATACTCTGCAAACTTGACTTGAGAAAGATGGGGCTCCAATCACGAGATCGGGCGCTTCAACCCCTATTAATGTCTCGTATGCCCATAGGTGGTGAGGTCAGCGTACAAGGAAGTACAGAACGTTGAAAAAGGAGAGGGTCTGCACCCTAGGTCTGTGCTCTCGGGGAATCGGATCTGAGGTAGCCCTAGGGGTTGGGTAGACCAGAAAACAGGACAGCTGACTGAGACCCTGGGCACTATTTCTGGGTAGACTGCCACACCAGAGCCTCGGCTCATAAAGAGCTCCCCTCCTTGGACCCAGCCTACACAGCTGTTTTTCTTTTCTCTTAGGTTCGTTTTCCAGGGCAGAAGAAACAACCATGAGTTGTTAGTTATGCTGTGGGAGTGTAGTCCCTCCTTGAAATTTACACTAATGCGGGGCTTTGAGTTGACAGAGTTGTTTTTACGTTTTTTATTTTATGGATCTCCACAGTAATCTGGAGATTCCACATCTCACATGTTAGGAAACGAAGGTTGAGAAAGGTTAGGAAAGCCACCTACTATCAGTAGAATGAGGACTCCTACTCGGGTCTAACTAGAAATCGTATGTTCTTGCTGCTAGTCCATACTGCCGAATTCTCTTCATTGCAATGATGGCAAAGCCAAATCACACTGAGCGGGGTCTCCAGGGTCTCACCCCTCCCCCAGGCCCCACCCCCACCCTTCCTCCAAGAGGACCTTATGTCTGAACTGGCTTAACTGGTGACTTGCCAGGGTTACTACCACTCCACCAGGGGGCGACACCCACTTAGAACAAGAAAGCTTCGTTTAGATGGCTTGGGGAGCAATTAAGAGTCATTCCCCTTCCAACAGGTAAGAATTCTAGGCCGTTAGGGAGCTGACCTCTCCAGGTACTAGTTCCCAGACCTAAAGAAGGGTCGATGAAGAATTGGGCCACATGGGTATTGAGTCGTAGGGAAGGGGATGCAATAGACTCTGATGAAAGGGGGGAACCATGGTGCCCGAAGTCACTGTGGTCCCGTTACTAAGAGCCCAGGCCGGATGGACAAGTGTGGTGGTTCTTTGAAGGAACTAAGAGTGTTAACGTAGGCAGAGTTGTTGAAGTGGCATCACTGCAGGGCCCCAGGGAGACAAGGAGGTCTTGAGCTAGAGAGCCCTGGAATGAGAAACTACTTCAGCATCTTTCTCCAGGCAAAGGGTCTCCTTATCTAGAGGAGTCAGAAACACATGGTGATTTCTCACCGTCCATAGCTTCAGCCTCCTAGTTGCTCTTCGTCCTTCTGGGCTTCTGAGTTTTCTAAACACTAAAGAGCTCCGTGTGGGAGGTCAGATGCCCCTGAGGTTGTAGATCTTCTGTGCAAATTCCTGAGGAGGAGTGGGGGAAAGGAGGTAGGAAGGAGAAGGGAGGTTGGGAGGCCCAAAAGGATGGCTTCAGCGGCCTGGGGCAACCGGTAGAAATAAGCTGCTCTGGGGGCTCAAGGATCTGCCGATCTCCATTCCCTGGGCCCCTGGGGGGGAAACTTATCTCCAGCAGAGAACATCAGCAGCAAGAGAGGAAGAGAGGACACATGGCTTCTAGTACCCAAGGTACTGAGAGCCAACAGAGCCTCAGGGGAACTTCGCCATCACTCTTAGACCAGGCAGAAATAATGGACTCTGGACCAGGAGCCTGAGTGCGGACTGGGAGCTTGGCACTCCAAGGGGGAGGGCCACTCCTGGGGGTGCTGCCTGATGCCACTCGATGCCACCCTCTGTGTCCTGGGCACTTACACTCTATGAGACCAATTCCGTGAAACGGTCAAGAACACAGGCGAGGCTGGTTAACAATGTGTGGAAGAGATTTAAAACACACTCCCAGAAGTTTGTAAAAGAGAGGAGACTTCAGCTTGGTCCGGACGAACCAGGAGAACTTGGAGAGGGAGTTCCTTCCCAGGACGAGGAGGGTGGGAGGGAGGAATGTGCTTGTGTTTTTGAGGCACAGTGAGAAGCCTGGCCCCAATGTAGTGGAGGGTGTGTGTCCGCAAACGGGGAGAAATCAGAAAGAAGGAATCTTCGAGTCCTCTGGAGAGCTGGGGCCCAAGTGCCCCGCGGGGAGGGGAGCACCAGCTGTACTGAGGTCCCAGCCCCTCAGCCTGTTCAGAGAACTGGCTCAGGGCTGGGTGGGTCTGTCCTGGGCTGGCGTTGCGCCACTGTCCTGTAAACTCCACCCAAGCCTGCACTCCAGGAAAGGGGTGGCGCTGTGGAGTGCTCTTTCCCCTCGGAGCCTGGTTCTTGCAGAACCAGGAGTGAGTCTCCCTGACGCCCCCCACCCCAGGCCCCAGGCAGCCCCCAGAGACTTGGGAGGAGCTGAATGCCATGAGCTTTCCCAGGGTGGGTGCCCTGCCCTCCGCAGTAGGCTGTCGCTCAGCTCGTCTCCGCGCCCCTGTGCGGAGAAGTCTGGAGCTGGGGCTGAGCAGCTTGTCTTCCGGCTGGGAACTGTGTGTGTGGTCTGCTCCCCAACCCCCTCCCCTACCTTTGCCTGTTTCTCCCTGTATTTGACTGGCTTTGAGTCTCCAGGAATGCCTGCCGCGTGCATGGCCCAGAACCCTTTCAGACCGGACTGTGGGCCGCGGGCCTCCCCTGTCCACCACTCATGCCCCTTTCCTGCTGCCTCTGTCCTCTCCAGAACTCCATCCGCCACAACCTGTCCCTGCACAGCAAGTTCATCAAGGTTCACAACGAGGCGACTGGCAAGAGCTCTTGGTGGATGCTGAACCCCGACGGGGGCAAGAGCGGGAAGGCGCCCCGCCGCCGGGCAGCCTCCATGGATAGCAGCAGCAAGCTGCTCCGGGGCCGCAGCAAGGCGCCCAAGAAGAAGCCAGCGGTGCTGCCAGCTCCGCCCGAGGGTGCCACTTCCACGAGCCCTGTTGGCCACTTTGCCAAGTGGTCGGGCAGCCCTCCTTGCTCTCGCAACCGCGAGGAAGCCGATGTGTGGACCACCTTCCGTCCACGAAGCAGTTCCAACGCCAGCACCGTCAGCACCCGGCTGTCCCCGCTGAGGCCCGAGCCCGAGGTGCTGGCAGCCGAGGAAATGCCAGGCGCGGTCAGCAGCTATGCAGGGGGTGTCCCTCCCACCCTGAAGGAAGATCTAGAGCTGTTAGATGGGCTCAATATAACATCGCCCCATTCTCTGCTCCCTCGGAGCAGTCTCTCTGGCTTCTCTCTGCAGCATGCCGGGGTCGCAGGTCCTTTACATGCCTATGGCACCTCCCTGTTCAGCCCAGCAGAGGGGCCCCTGTCAGCAGGAGACGGGTGCTTCTCAAGCTCCCAGTCTCTGGAGGCCCTGCTCACCTCCGATACACCACCACCCCCTGCTGATGTCCTCATGACCCCGGTAGATCCCATCCTGTCCCAGGCTCCCACACTCCTGTTGTTGGGGGGCATACCTTCCTCCAGCAAGGTAGCCACAGGAGTTGGCCTGTGTCCCAAGCCCTCAGAGGCCCCAGGCCCCAGCGGTCTGGTTCCCCCGCTTCCGATGATAGCGCCGCCTCCAGTCATGGCTGGTGCTCCCGTCCCCAAAGCCCTGGGGAGTCCTGTGGTCACACCCTCTACTGAAGCTACAAGCCAACCCAGAATGCCTCAAGATCTCGACCTTGACATGTATCTGGAGAACCTGGAGTGCGACATGGATAACATCATCAGTGACCTCATGGATGGGGACGAGGGACTGGACTTCAACTTTGAGCCAGGTACTGCACCCCTAGTCCCCGTGGCATCTCACAGGCTATGCCCACTCCCAGGTGCCCAGCCACTTCCACAGTCTGAGCAAGGGGGTCACTTAGAACAGGGGTAGGTGGAGCTCCCGGGGGAATGGGAGGCGGCCGTCTTATTACGGTGGCAGTTTCCAGATGGGCCTTGCAGGCCCCTCAGCAGTGCCCACCCCTAGCAGGTAGCACAGGAGAGGTGGCACGGTCTGTTTTCCTTGGCGTGGACTGTGATGGTGGAATTTGGTCACGCCCCAGATGAACCTCTTACGTTGTCATCCGTTTCTTCTTCCTACAGATCCCTGAGCCGAGGCTGGAAGCTTTGTCCCCTGCGTCAGAGGGGGAGCCCGGGGCGCCCATATCCACTTTGTACCCTTGGCCCCACCTGGGGAATTTAGGACCCCGCTTTAGAGCTAGGGTGGGGTCTACTCACGCAGGTGTTGAGGAAATTATCCAGATAAAGCTGCCCCATATGGGAAATATGAGGGGAGGGAAGGGGTGGGGGAAAGGGAAGGGGTTTATTCTCACTGTGCCATTTAGGGAGTAAGGCGCCCTCTTGGGAGCCATCCTCGGCTCCCCCTGTTCCCACCCCCTATGTTTTGTAGCAGGGGTGGGCAATGCTGTCGAAAATGTGAAGTCACCAGTGGCCTTACCCCTGCCTTTGGGAGCAGGACTTTTTTTAGCGTCTTATCTGAGCTGGTCCAGGCTAGATCGAGCCTGGGGTTTTTATGCAGTGGCCTCTTCGGCCATGGGGGGGGGAGGGTGGTGGGGACCTGAAAGGGCCAACGTCTGAGCACTGGGGTGGCTTGCCAGGCCATATGACCCTTGGAAGACTGCAGACAACAGAAAGGCTTTATATAAACTTTTCATGATCTATAAACACAAATATAGAGATTTTTAACAGTGGCAAGGTGCTAGTGATGGAGAGAAGGCTTTTTTTTTCTTTCTGAAGGCTTTGTCATAATGACATGTTGCAAACACTACAGACACGACTTGGGGGAAACGTGGGGGGGGCTCAGGCAGGAGAGCAGCTGTTCTGAGTTGGGGGGGGCACGTCCACACAGCCAGGCCCTACATTCTGCCACCTTGTGCCTAGGAGCGTGCGGTGTTGGGATGTAGCCACACTCTCCCGTGACCCGCTGTGGGCTAGCGCTCCGGTGGGGGAGAGCACACTGAAGGCCTGGAATTAGTTTGTGGCCTGGGAAGGGGGTGGGAGGGGGATGAGAAGGAGGGAAGGATTTAGGGTGGTAAAGTTAGGCACAGAGACCTCCCTGTTCAAGGCCCCTGACAGCTGTCCCTGCCCTTCTTCCCCTTGCCTGACTACAGGGGTTATGTGGAAGTGTGTGTGGTAGCAGGCAGGGGGAGGGGCAGAACAGGGAAGGGGGAGCTGGGGAGCTTGGCTGAGGGTCTGGGAAATGAGCGGGGATGGAGGGGAATGTGGATCAGGTTTACTAGCACCTGCCAGGGAGGCCATCTGGGGCTCTTCCACCCCAGCCCCCAAAGCAGCCCCTCCCCCAGCCCCTTTGCATTGTCCCCTCCCCCACCCCTGCTGTGGGTTCCCATCATTTCCTGTGTCAGCGCCTGGCCTACCCCGATTGTATCATGTGCTAGATTGGAGTGGGGAAGTGTGTCAAATCAATAAATGAATAAATTCAATAAATGACTATAACCAGCTCTGGTTTCTGCTGCCTTGCTGCCCCCCTCGGACAAGGGGGAGGGAGGGGAAAGGCGATGGTTGGTGGGACTGCCCAGAGGCTGAGAGGTGGGGGTGGGGGAATTTCAGCAGGGGCAGAGGGTGGGGGTGGGAGAAGGGAAGTGGCCCGTCAGCCACCTAACCTAAGCAGCCTGTGATAGGCGTCCTCTGGTAGTCTAGCTGGGAGAGACCCCACCCCCTGCTCTGTCCCACTGTCCCTCAAAGGCTCATTGTACTAGACTTCAAAGTCTTTCTTCACCCCGCCCATGTGCACACCCCGGCCCTCTCCTGCGGCTCCCACCCACCCTCAGCCTCCAGGCTGCCTGGGGCGCCCGAGCCTCCTGGCAGATACCGGGAGAAGGAGTGTCTTGAAAAAGGAACCTCACATTAAATTCCAGTAATTTCACACCTAGTATTGCTGCTCTCGCTCGGTCACTTTATTTTTTTAGCCTGTTTTCCCTTCTTACTGAGAATGCCTGGCCTGGCCTTTTGTGACTGACCCTTGCGAGGGGACTTGCGAGAGGACTTGTCGTCACCTGCTTTGGACTGGAAAAAGAAAGGGTTGGCGGGTCAGATAAAGAAGTTCGTGCAAGGAAACATACTCCGAACTAGGGTCAAAGGCAGGAAAACGGGGGTGGAAGGCGGGTCTGGGGCATGGATGGCTTTGGAAAGGAAATTTAACCCAGAGGGCCATGGTGGAGGAGCCTGGTTGGCTCAGGAGAGACACAGAAGGATGCTGGGACGGATCAGATTCGGGTAATCTTACTGAAAGATTCACCGAGGAATCAATTTTAACGGCCTTCTTGGCTTCTTGGAGTCTAAGCATTTTCAGTCGGCTCTTCTCCAACACATCACATTGTGTACGCAAGGACTCTACAAAGAAGGAAAAGGCACCCCTACCTCTGAGGACCAGAGACCTTACCCATCCTGTCCCCCGCCCCCATCATTCAAATGATCATTTGGAACAACCCAGCCTCAAGTTAGTCTGAGGAGTGACCCAGAGGTGCCTAAGCTCCAAGAGAAAGGGATGGAGGGCAAGATGGAAATGATGGGGTGATGATAGGAAGAGATACTGAGAAGATGGCCAAGAAGTAGGGGGAAGGGTGAATGACACATAATTCCTCCTGGTTTGAGCTAAGCATCGCTCCTAAAGTGAACCTAGACCCTTTCCCTAGGATCCTGTGGTCCTGCTTGCTGCACACCACCAGCCCCAGCCTATATTCGCCATCACCAGCTATGTGCAGTACTCTGACGGTCCTCCTTTCTCCACTGTGCTTCTTACCAAGCAGCGTGTGCTCTGGATTCTTCAAGAGGGGCACAAAAGCTAGGTAGGCATTCGCAAGTTGGGTTCCTGTGAATACAGCAGTGTGCTATCCTCAGCCCCTGTCACCAAGTCTCCACCCTTCCAAAGCCCAAGATTTCAGGACCCTAACACTCAACGCTACCTTGAGCTGGTTTACCTTATTTCCTCCCCTCAGATCCATCCCTAGGATAAAGGGGGGGGGGGGGCGCATGGTATGCGTGAACCTAACCTATTGTCACAGGCAGTGCCCCTTCTTAGGCTGACTAGGGATGGTGCATTGGATCTGGGGGAGGGTGCTCTCTTTTAAGGACAAGGTCCACAATCCATCCTGAGGGCCTTGCTCTATCTCCAGGGAATGCTCCCAAACCTCTACCTGCTGTCCCACGTGCCACCCTGCAAACGAAGTAGGTGTTTCGAGCTGTAAGGAATTTGCTGGCATAGTCTCCAGGTATCTTCATCAGGAAAAACAACTTCATTGTTCCCGTTTCATCACACAAATCAATGGTGTCTGGAGGGAGGCCACAGGGGTCATTGGGGCAGCTCAGGAAGGAGACTGGGGGCAAAAGGGACCCGTGAGCCTGTCCACAGTGAGCTGGAGGAAGGTGTAGGGATTCAAGGAGCTCTCTTCTTGTCAGCAGAAGGACTTGGAGGCCAGAGATGACTCTACTACTTCTGACCCTTGGGCATCAGACCCCTCCCCAAACTCCTCACCTGTTTTAGCCAACCCCACTTTACTGCGGATGTAATGCAGCAACCGGTGGACCGCACAATTCATATTGACAATAAAAATCTCATTATCTAAGAAGAGATGGGATGGGGCATGTGACCCTCCTCTAGTTATACCGTCCCTGTGATCCCCACTGCCCTCATACCTTCCCAGCCTTACACACAGACTCCAGCTCCGTGGCGCCCCTCACCTCCATGGTTGATGTAGATGTATGTGCTCTCAAGAACTTTCTCTTGAGAGAGAGACTGTTGACTCATGAGGACGGAGGGTGTTCTGGAGGTCTTGGGGATCCATGGGGTCAGGGAACTGGAGAGGCAGATGGACTACATTGCCCGAGGAACCCAGACCGGGCAGACAGGAGAGAGCTCTTGGCAGTGCTAGATAACCAGCATCGCTAGGGGTGGGGCCTGAGGCAGCACCTGAGGGATTGTGAGGTCAGAGGTGGTACGTGTGGCAGAAGGTAGAGTAAGCATAAGGGGGAGAAGAACCTGGGTGAGGTCTGGAGATCCGTTGGGAATGGGGGCAACATGGTAAATCAAACTCTGAACCGGGCCCCAGAAGGACACCTGAGAGAAAAGTTCAGTTTCTAGAAGAGAATTTTTTCTAGTTAATTTGTGGTACTACTGCTTCCACAGAAGGAGTCCACCGCTCCTTTCCCTGTGCCCAGAATCATGCCCCCGCCCTTACTGTACCTCACGTTTCCCCTGCTCCCTGCCCCAGCAACAGACATTCTTGACGATGATCAACAGAAACTTTATTTCTCATTGATTCGGGAACAACTGAGGGGTAGGCGGAAAGAGGGAGGGAGAAAGAGTTCTGCGAAGAGGAAGGGCCGGATTGAGAGCGATAACAAACATGTACAGGGCTAAGGGGCAATTCTCATGGAGGAGATTCTGAATGAGATTCTGAATGACAGTTAGAGGGGGCACACATTCCAAATCAGCCTCAGTGGGGTGAGGGGAGCCTTGGGCCCAGGCTGGTTGGATGAGGCGAAGTTGGTACAATTTAGGGCTACAGGGACCCTGAGGTTCTGCCAGGGTATCAGGGCTCAGGTTTCAGGGTGTAGCCTGGGGGAGCCCAGTAGGGGCTATGCTGGCTGCAGGGGGAGCCCCCAGGCCCTTCCCCTGGAGCACCTCCTTTTGGAGGCATCTCACTGACGTGGCAGAGCCTTTCGTTGTAGTCTGGCTGCAGGCTCTCCGCCAGCCCCTTAGACACGCCACTCCAGGCCTAGAGACAGATATCTCCAGGTCAGGGGTCAATTAGGGGCAGGAAGCAAAAGACCCAGGCTCTGTGCTAGACAAGCTCTCACAACGTCCGCACCACTAGGACTGCAGAAGGGACACACAGACTCCTGGGCTCCCAACACCACCGTTTCCATCTGCCTCAACCAATCTACAATCAGTTCTTCTGTGTGTCTCTCTCCGTCTACCCCCTCCCCCAACTGGTCGGCTGCATTCTGACACTTAGTGCGGGCCCTCCCCTCCCCTTCTGCCCTCCACACTCTGTCTAGCTGCAGGAAGTGGGCAGTTGACAGACTGCAGTCTGCCTATGACCATGTTCTCACCGAAAAGTTCCCGTGGTATTCGGTAACCAGATCCTCTAGGCTCTTGAGGGTAGGAATTCGGGGCATGGTCCTAGGGTAGGGGGAGAAAGAGGGAGCAGGCGCACATTGGTGATGCTCTTTTGTTACCCATTTTTCCCAGTTCTCCCGTATGGAATCAAGAGATTCCGTGTTCTCTGTGCCTGCAGCTTCCTTCAGTCACCATGCCACCTGGGCGACACCTCATTCCTTACTGTCCCACCCTCTTCTTCCTTTTTTATTGATTTGAGAGAGAGGAAGGGAGATAGAGAGAAACGGAAACACCGATGAGAGAGAACACTGAATGGCCGCCTCCTGCATGCTCCCCAGTGGGGTCGGGCCCACAACCTGGACATGTGCCCTGACCGGGAATTGAACTGATGACCGACCCCTTGGTGCATGGGTCAAAGCTCAACCACATCAACCGGGCTGATAAGTTATCTTTTACATATATATATATACACATACATACATATATATGTATATATATATATACACACACATATATGTATATATATATACACACACATATGTATGTGTGTATATATATACACACACATATATATGTGTATATATATATATTTTCTTTATTGGTTTTAGAGAGAGAGGAAGGGAGAGGGAGAGAGATAGAAACATCGATGAGAGAGAACATCGATTGGCCACCTCCTGCATGCTCCCCACTGGGGATCGGGCCCACAACCTGGGCATTTGCCCTGACCAGAAATCAAACTGGCTACCTCTTGGTGCATTGGTTGACGCTCAACCAGTGAGCCACACCAGCCGGGCAATAAGCCATATTTTTAAAGATATTTTTAAAACTGATTTTAGAGAGAAGAAGGGAGAAAGGGAGAGATGGAAACACTGATAAGAGGGAACATCGATTGGCCACCTTCTGCATGTCCCCCACGGGGGATTTGGCCCACAGCCTGGGCCTATGTGCTGACCTGGAATCAAACCAGCGACCCCTTGGTGCATGGGTCCACACTCAACCACCGAGCCACACTGGCCGGGCCCCCCCTCTTCTTCTGTAGACCCTGTAATAAACTATCTCTACTATTTCCAGCCACCCCCTCTTTTCTCTGTGATTCCCTAAGTCTCACCGTTCCAACCAGCAGTACACACAGATGAGGCTGATGATCACCCCCATGGAGCCCAGGGGGATGAGTACCGCTTCCAGCGCGAACAGCGGCAGGGGCTGTATGGACCCTACGGAGAAGAGGAGAGAGAAAGAGCCGTGACACTTGTCACAGCGGGCACTGTGCTAGACCCTTTCCATAGAATTAGTTCTCACAACTCCCAAGAGTGGGGGCCAGTTAGTGTCTCCATTTTATAGACAAGGAAAGACAGTCAAAGAGATTAGTGATGTGCCCGAGATCAAAGAGGCAGTAAGTGGCAGAGGCAGATTTATTTATTTTTTATGTAATTTTTTTTTATCCTCACCTGAGGACATTTTTTTGATATTTTGTTCGAATAGAGTGGGAGGGAGAGAGAGAGAGAAAAATCGACGTGAAAGGGACACATGGAGTGGTCACCAACCGCACGACCCAACCAGGGCCGGGGACAAACTGCAGCTGAGGTACGTGCCCTTGGCGGGAACCAAACCCGGGTCTCTCTGGACCACAGGCCGACACTCTAACTGCTGAGCCAAACTGGCCAGGGCTAACTTTTTTTTCTTTATTGATTTTAGAGAGAGAGGAAGAAAGAGGGAGAGAGAGATAGAAACATCGATGAGAAAGAACATCAACTGGCCGCCTCCTGCATGCCCCCCACTGGGATCGGACCCACAACCTGGGCATGTGCCCTGACCAGGAATCAAACCAGCAACCCCTTGGTGCATGGGTCAAGGCTCAACTACTGAGCCACACCGGCCGGGCTGGAGAGGCAGGTTTAAACCCGAGACCTGGCTGGTTCCAAAGCCATCTTTATCATGCACCTGGGGATGCTGTAGGACCAGCTCATACATTCTATCTCCCCTTTGAGCACCCCTTGGCCTCCTCCTCAACCCATCCCCTACTCGGACAACACCTCGACCCAACCCTACACGGAAAAACCCTGCTTCCTGGGGGTTGGGGTTGAACAGTGAGGGGAGATGGGCCACCGATTTGGGACCTCAGGGATAGGGAGACAGAGCAAAAGACAGTGGTGCTAGAAAGGTTGAGGTGTTGGGCTTCTGAGTCAGGGGGAGGCATTAGGCCCATTTTACCCTTTGAAGTATGGCTGCCCCAATGGATCGGGTGGCTCCATTCACTCCAAAGCTTAGCACTTCCACAGAGTGGGTTAAAGCGGCTCCGAACACGAAATGTGTAGAGTTTCTGCCCATCCACACTAGGCAGGGAGAAGCTACGTCTGTGGTCCACTGACTGTTCCTGGGGGAGAAAGAGGGTGAGGGAAAGATGGGTGTCTATAAAAGAAAGGAGAATTAAAACTGCTGCCCCTCCCCCTTTGTCATCGTCTGGTTCTTTCCAGTCCCTCCCTCCTCTCTTCACTACTCAAGCCACACTGTCCCCTTCACTGACTAGAGTCCAATGCCTCTCTCCAGACTTCCTTAAAGGGTTCCTTTGGTTAACATATCTGTGTGGTGTTGGGAAGAGTACAGGCAGAGAAATGCTAATGAGAACTCACTGGTGATGATAGGGAAAGGAGTTGGAAGGGGACGCAGGGTGGGCAGAAAATAAGGCTTGGGATCAAGCCCTCCCGTTTGGCTGATTGCATCCCTTACCCCCACTTGCTTGGTCTTAGCGGCTACGTTCATATCCCCAGTCACTTACAGTCCAGCTGTGGTCCCGGTCACTCCGGTACTGCACCAAATGTTCCAAACAGTGGTCCAAGTATCTGTTGCTCCATCTCAGTTCTAATTGGGATTCGCTCAGGTTGTGGAGTGTTAGGTTCTCCGGAGCCCAGGGAATCACTGGAGACATATGTGTGAGTGCGGTCATTCCCCTGGCCTAGACGAGTCAGGGTCCTGAAGGTAGTGCTCCTGATACCTCCTCCTTCCCCATCCCAAACCCTCACCTCTCCCTTTCTGCCCACAGTATACCCCCCCCCGTTTTTTTTTTTTTTCAGATAGAGTGGGAGGGAGGGAGGGAGGGAGGGGGAGAGAGAGAGAGAGAGAGAGAGAGAGAAACATGGACGTGAAAGAGACACATCGACTGACTGCCTCCCAAACTACCCGACCAGGGCCCGGGAGGATCCGCAACCAAGGTACATGCCCTTGACCAGAATCTAACCCATGACTCATTGGTCTGCGGGCCGACGCTCTAACCGCTGAGCCAAACCAGCCAGGGCCATCCCTGGACTCTTGATCCCCTGTCCAAGTTACCCAGATCCTGCAGTCTTAGCATCTTTTCAGTGTGCCTCCTGGGTTCCCGGGGGTCCCGAAGCTGGACAACAAATGTCTGGTAGAGCTGGATGTTCTCTTTTCCCAACCAACAGCCAGAAGTGACCTCTGCAGAGTATAGGTAGTGGCCACACTCCTGGACTTGGTCATGCTCAGAGTTCTGGTACCTAGAGAAACGTTGGAAGGAAGAGGAACGGCGGGGTAAACTTGGGTTCTGCAGACAGCCACAGCCCAGCCTTGTCTCTGAACTGACTTATGACTTACCCCCTGAGAAAACAGTGGGGAGCCCAGGATGCTGGCTACCCTCTTTCTTGGTCCCCGTGCAATCTCTCACATCCAGCCCACCTCCTCTTCCTCCCCCGTGCTATCCCCTTTTCCTTTCTCATACCAATAGTGCAGAGTCAGGTTGCTGGGCTGGGGCTCAGAGCTGCTGTTCCAAGTGCAGTTCATGTACTCGACGTTGAATACAAAACACTGAACGTCAGGGAGGGGCAGGGTGGAAACATTGAGGATCCCAGGGGGAGTAGAACGCAGGAAGAAATCTAGCTTGGGGAGAAAATGAAGGGGGGGAGGGGAAGAGAAGAGATGATGGTCAGAAGAAGAAACAGCGTGAGGCAGGGAACCCTTCCCCTTCCCTCCCCCAACGCTCTTAAAAAACTCTGTCTGCGTCCTTGTCATAGCCAGTGGCAGGTTCCAGATTTCGGTATGGCCCCTTCCCAGCCTCCCTTCTCACCAACCTCTTCCAGTCCCAGCTTTGCCACCAGCTTTGATGTCTTCATTCCCTCTGGGCTTGAGGACAGGGGGGTTCACCCCCATCCCCAGCAGAGGCAGCTGCAGGAATAAGAGGGATCTGAGTGGCAATGGTAGCTTCAACATGGCACACTTGCTCTTCGTTCCCTGGGTGTACTGTGTCAGGAAACTGGGCCCCTCACCCGCGCGCCTACCCGCTACCCCTCCCCACCCATACATACATTTCCTTCTGTCATAGCTTCCGGTGGAAAGAACCTTAGAAACCAGGGCTGTACAGAGACTGTGGCAAAAGTGTGCTATGACACTTGCTAAGTCTTCTGGGAGATTACGTGTTGACCTAATCCGTAGGTGTAACATTACCCGGCTGTGAGGTGGTATTCAGTATGTTGGGCATACAATACTGTCAGAAACTTGAGAATTCTTAGACCACCTAGATCCTGAGAAGGATGTTATCAACACCACCATCACCACCATTCCCAACCACCTTCTCATCAAAATTACTTTATCCTATACAGTGGAGGTTCTGAACCTCTTCCCCATCCTATGTCATGCTCCTTCCTTGGGTCAGTCACCCTGAAACCACTGTCAAAGCTCCACTGTTTTGGCTGGATGGAAAACACAGTCTCGACTCCTCTGGGCACATATATAGCTGTCTTTCCTGTGACCTAATCCAAACCAGAATATCCATCCTTAGCTCCTGGCTGAGCTGGGTCCTTGTTGAGCCTGGTGAGGAGGTCTGACTTAGGAAATGGAGGAACCCCAAATAGTAACTTCAAAGCCTCATCTTCAGTTAATCTGCTTCCCTTCCTGTGTTCCCTCTCTCAGTTCATGGGATCATCACCGTCTCAGTCACCCAGAGGCAAAGTCTTCCTCAAACTCCTCCCCCTCTCACTCAGAATCCAATCCGCTCTACTGAGCCCAGCCGTGGTGCTAAATCAGCCTTTCATTCCCTCTAGTGATGAACCTTGTTTTCAAATGATTTTGATTTTTTTAAATTCTTTATTTTTTAAAGTTTTTTTTAATTTATTTATTTTTATTATTTTATTCCTCACCCGAGGATATTTTTCCTATTTATCATTAGTTAGAGTGGGAGGGAGGGGGAGAGAGACACACAGAAAGAAACATCCAGCAACATCAACTGGTTGCCTCCGTGTCACATGACCCGACCAAGGCCAGGGACCAACCGCAGCGGAGGTGCATGCCCTTGACCAGAATCGAACCTGCGGCTGATTGGTCTGCAGGCCGTGGCTCTAACCGCTGTGCAAAACAGGCCAGTGATGATTCTTAGGGGAACCCACTAACTGGCCTCTTTTTGTAGAGTTCCCCTGCTCTCTGCCCTAGCCTGGGGAGCTCAGTTGGTTTGAAAATTGTCCTGATATGCCAAGGTTGTGGGTTCGATCCCCAGTCATCCCGTCGGCAGATTTCTCTCCCCCCAAACAGAGAGTTGATGGGAGCGAGTATTTACACAAATTGTTCATTCAGCAAACATTTATTTGGCCTTTAATACGTCCCAGGCACTGTGCTTATGTTCTACCCCACCCTAATTTTCTGTGGATTAAAATTCCTTAGGGTTAGCTCAAATATTACCTCCTCCAAGCAGAATGCTTCCTCTCCCCAGTCAGAATCAATTCGTCTCCGCACTGTCAGTCAATATAGCATGTTATTATTTTGTTATTTGCTAGCTGTAGTTTTAATAATTTGTTACTTTTAGTATAGCACTGTGTCCTTTTTCTAAAAGGCAACATCGCCATCAAAGAATATCGGCTCAAGAAAGTCAAGCATAACATTCTAGGCTCGGCTCTGTTACTTAGTAGCTGTATAATACGGGGCGAGTGAACTTGCAGCGTCCCAGGCACCGAAGGAAGCCGGCAGCCTCCAGTTCGGGGGCTGTGCGCGGATTAGAGGAGCTGCTACTGTACCCAACGTGTCTGACCCTCAGGAAGCGCCGGTTTTCGCCAGAGCGAGGGTTATTGACCAGAAATTCACGGACCCTTCGGGGAGGCCTCCCCGAGCTTCAGGGGCTGCAACAGTCTTTCTGGGACGGAACTAACATTCCGACTGTCTCCGTGTTCATTTTTCTGGGAGAAGGGCCACCGCTTCCACCAGCATCTCAAAGGGGTTGTGAAATGAGAGCGGTTAACCGTCTCGGTGCTTGACAACGACCGTGCGGGACCAGGCCCGGCCTTCCCGGGGCCCAGTGCTTTCTCCGCGTCCACGGAGGTTCTCGTCTTCGCAACGGGTCCTCTGAGGGGCGCGATCGGTACACCCTCTTTGTGACGCGGAAACGGAGACACGGAGCCCGGTTTGGGAAAGGCCGAGTCCCTGCACCACGCAAAGCCTGCGGAGCACCCACCCTCGGCCGAGGGGGAGCGGGGCGCCCGGGCCGGCGCCGACGGGGCCCCGCAGCGCGGCGGCCTCGCTCCTCGCGGCTTCGCTCCCCCCGATGCGCCGCTCGGGCCGCCTCGCAGCTGCCGCCGGGGAAACCGATCTGCGCCCCAAGGCTCCCGGCGCGGAGCCCCGCCCCCGCCGGCCCGGCCCCGCCCCGCCGCGGTCGGTACTGGCCGACGGCTTCCGGCGTCCCTCGGCGCCCCTCGGCAGTTTCCGGCAATGCTCGGCCCTGTCTAACGTGCCCCCTGTTGTCTCCCGGCCGCCGTCCTCGCCGCCGCCGCCCCCCGCGCGGCCCCCCCGCCCCGGAGCCGGCCCGGCTGGCGCCTCGGGCGCTACGGGCTGGGCAAGATGGCGGCCTTCGGGATCCTGAGCTACGAGCACCGGCCCCTGAAGCGGCCGCGGCTGGGGCCTCCCGATGTGTACCCTCAGGATCCCAAACAGAAGGAGGTGCGTTCGCCACCCCGGGCGCTCGCGGGGCCGGCGGGCAGCACCCCGGGGCCGGGAAACGGGGGGCGGGCTGGGCTGATGGGAGCCCAAGTCCCGAGCCGGGGCAGAGTAAAGTGGGTGCGGAGGGTGGGACCTGGAGGGCAGGGGGCGGTTCCTGGGTGTGACTCGGGAACGACGGAGGGGCCGCGCCAGAGGTGCCCCCACACACACCCCTCAGAAAGTTGTCAGGCAGCTTGTGCGGGGAAGAGTGATGGTGACCGAGAGCCGGGTGATGGGGAACCGCAGGGACGACGGTGGGGTCCGAATGAATAGCAGGGCCTACCTCAGAGCAGCGATCGGTGCTCCTCAGAATCCTCCTACCTGGTCCCGGCTTCTTCTCCTGCCCTCCTCTCCCCCCGCCGCCCCCCCGCAAGGCGAGATCACGCTCAACTGTCATTTTCCTGCTTCAGGATGAACTGACGGCCTTGAATGTGAAACAAGGTTTCAATAACCAGCCTGCTGTCTCTGGGGATGAACACGGCAGTGCCAAGAACGTAAACTTCAATCCTGCCAAGGTGAGAAAACCCTGCCAGGCTGAAGGAAAAGGCTGGAAGAATCTGAGAAGGAGCAAAGGCCAAGGGTTGGGAAGACTTAAAGGGACGACCTAAGTGGCCGAGTTTTCCTTCATGACCTAATGCCACCACGTTGGCTTTTGCCTGTCAAGTGCACGAACACCTCTCTGCCCTTTCTTCTCACCCTGAGGTATAGTTTTCTTCCCTCAGATCAGTTCCAACTTCAGCAGCATTATTGCAGAGAAGTTACGTTGTAACACCCTCCCGGACACTGGTCGCAGGAAGCCCCAAGTGAACCAGAAGGACAACTTCTGGCTGGTGACTCCACGATCCCAGAGTGCCATTAACACCTGGTTCACTGACCTGGCTGGCACCAAGCCACTCACTCAACTAGCCAAGAAGGTGAGCTACTGTTTCCTGTTCTTCAGGCCAAGGAAGGGAGCATGGGTAGCAAGTACCCTCTTATTCCCAGATTAAGCTACATGGCTGCAAGCTGATGGTGGCAATAGAGGTCTCACTTTTTGCGATGTCCATCCAGGTCCCTATTTTCGGAAAGAAGGAAGAAGTGTTTGGGTACTTAGCCAAATACACAGTGCCTGTGATGCGGGCCGCCTGGCTCATTAAGATGACCTGTGCCTACTATGCAGCAATCTCTGAGACCAAGGTTAAGAAGAGACATGTTATTGACCCCTTCACGGGTGAGTAACTCCTAATACCGGGGTCCCACCACTGATTGCTTCGAGGAGTGATAGACCCTTGGAATTATTCTCCTTACCTGTATTCCTTGCTTCTGCTTGTATGTTGCATTCTTTCGATTAGTAAATACCCAGTACCTTGAGTGTCTGCTATGCGCATGTACTGGGCTGTAAGAATGACCAGCACCTAATCCCTGCCCTTATGATGCTTGTAGTCTAGTAGGTATGCCAAGGCAGCTAGACAAATCACATAATTAAATATAGAAAGTAAGTGTCAAAAGAGGGGGCAGAAGCTTCTGAGACTTCAGTGGACAGAAAGGTGACTTTCTTTGGGGGACACCTGGGAAGGCTTTAAGAAGGTGGCATTTGACTAGAGCCAAAGGGATGAATAGGATCTAGAAGGACAGTAGCCCCCACTTATCTGAGGGGGATACGTTCCAAGACCCCCAGCGGATGCTTGAAACCACAGATTGTGCCCTGGCTGTTGTGCTCAGTGGTTAGAGCGTCAGCCTGTGCACAGAAGGGTCATGGGTTTGATTCCTGGTTGGGTACATACCTGGGTTGCAGGTTCAATCCCCAGCTCCAGTTGAGGCACATGTGGGAGGCAGCCAATCAATGTGTCTCTCTCACATCAGTGTTTCTTGGTCTCTCTCTCTCTCTTTCCTTCCCTCTCTTCCACTCAATCTAAAAATCAATGGAAAATTATTCTCGGTGAGGATTAACAAGAAAAAAATTAAGAAACCACAGATAATAGTGAACCCAATATATACCATGTTTTTTTCCTATACATACATACCTATGATGAAGTTTAATTTCTAAATTAGGCCCAGTAAGAGATTAACAACAACAATGAAAACTAGAACGATTATGACGATATAGTGTAATAAAAGCTTTGTGAATGTGGTCTCTCTCTCAAAACATCTTGTACTGCCTTTTCGTGATGATGCGAGATGATAAAATGCCTGTGTGAGGAGATGAGAGGTGGATGATGTAGGCATTGTGACGTAGCACTAGGCTACTATTGACCACACGTCAGAGGGAGGGTCACCTGCTTTGGGCGATCCTGGATCATGGGGCCATGAGTGACAGTGTCGATGGT